CTGCTATTTGGTGTTATGATGCTATTTTTTGAATTGAAATAGCACCATTCAAGACAAGTTTCCTTACAAAGAAATGTCTTATATGAATATGTTTGGTACGTCTGTGATATTCCGGATTTTGGGCCAAGCGTATTGCAGCTTCGTTATCGACCATCAATACTGGATTACATTCCATATCCAAAAATTCTTCATCTAGCTGTTTCAACCAAACCAGTTCACGGGAAGCTTCACTTGTAGCTACTATCTCGGCTTCCGTTGAGGAAATAGCTACTGAAGTTTGTCGTTGACTGAGCCAAGATATCGCACCGCCAGCATAAATACAAATAACACCTGTTGTTGAACGTCCCGTTGTTTCATCTCCGCCATGGTCAGCATCACTAAAACTTCTCAGGCCATCCATACAGGTTGTTTTGTACGTTATACCGTAATCTGTTGTTCCTTTGAGGTATCGAAGTATTCGTTTAACTTGGATACAATTATGATTGCTGGGATCTTCTAACGACCTGGAAACAACACTGATTGTATAAGCAATGTCTGGTCTTGTACCTGTCATTAGATACATAAGAGCCCCAACCGTCTCTCTGTATGGAAAAGTTGTATTCAAATCCATTTCGGATTCGTTATCTGATTGAATACAATCTTTAACAATCGGTGTTGAAACGGTTTTACAATCTTGCATGCCAAAGCGTTCTAATACTTTTCTTTTATAACCTGCTTGATTTAATTGAATGGAACCATCTTTTCTAGTTTTGATTTCTAATCCTAAGAAATAGGAAGCAGGTTTCACTGTCATTTTGAAATCATTCTGCAAGCTTTGCAAGAAATTATTCTTCAATGTATCATTAGTTGTTGCAATCAACCCATCATCAACGTATATGACCAAAATCATCATATCATTTCCATGTTTCTTCATGTATAAACATGGATCTGAATTACTTTGCTGGAAATCAAGTTTCTCCACAACATCATGGAATCGCTTATTCCAACATCTTGGTGCTTGCTTGAGTCCATATAAACTTTTCTGAAGTCGACATACTCGATTAGTACCATCCTCATATCCTTCAGGTTGCTTCATATAAACTTCTTCGTCAAGCTCGCTATAGAGAAATGCAGAAGCAATATCAAACTGGGTGAGATTCATTTTTCTACTAGCAGCAATACTCAGAACAGCTCTTATCGTACTACCTTTTGCTACAGGACTGAAGGTTTCATCGTAGTTTTCACCCTTCCTTTGTGAATAACCTTTGATAACCAATCTGGCCTTGAATTTATCTACAGAACCGTCTACATTCAGCTTTCTTTTGTAAATCCATTTACATGGAATTGCTTTTCTGCTAGGTGGCAGTTCTTCCAAAATCCAAGTTTGATTTTCATTCAGGGATTCAATTTCATTTTCCATTGCTCGAATCCAATCATCTTTCTCAGGGCAGGAGATGGACTCTTCGTAAGAGAGAGGCTCTTGAGGTTCGGTTATTTCACTAGCAACAATCATGGCATAATCATCGAAACGGAGTGGCTTTCTGATTTCATGTCTATCTCTCAGCTGCTTTTTCATTCTAATGTCCTCATCTTCTAGAAATGGATCTTCTCTCTTCAGTTTGAAAGCCGGAGATATCCGGTGTATTTTTAGCATCTGTGTCAACTGGTATGTCTTCTTCTGACGTCTCATTTTTACCAGTAGATGGTACTCTTGCCATAACAGATTCTAATGGTTTATCTTCGTGAAAAATTACATCACGAGATCGTATTAGCCTCTTACTTTCTTCACACCAGATACGATATCCATCATCATTCTCATATCCAATGAGTACTCCTTTTATAGCCTTTCTATCCATTTTCTTTCGACATCTTTTTGGTATGTGTGCATAGCAATAACTGCCTATTACTCTGAGATGCCTCAAATTGGGCTTCTTTCTAAACCATATTTCGAAGGGAGATTTGTCTTTAATACCAGATGTACCGGATCTGTTTAAAATATAAACAGCTGTATTGATCATTTCAGCCCACAAGCTTTGACTTATTCGTCCTTCTCTAGCATGCATCAAAGCTCGGGCAGTTTCAAATACTGTTCGATTATCGCGCTCTGCGCAACCATTCTGCTGAGGAGTGTCGGGCATGATGATTCTTTGTCGTATTCCATAGTTATTGAGAACTTTGGTTATTTCTCTATTTGAGAATTCTCCACCTCCATCTGACAAGAATTCTAGAACGTTGTAGCCCATAGCTTTAATCTCTGCGAGTAAAATCTTCAGCTTTTCTACAACTTCAGATTTTTCTTTGATGAAGAAAACATAACGGAACCTACTGAAGTCATCTTTGAATTGGACATAATACCGGTAAGCTGACTTGGATGGACAAAAAGGTCCACATACATCTGCATGTATTCGTTGTGCAGGAACATCAGCTCTGTCTCTGGTACCAAATTTCATTATATGAGCTTTTCCGTAAACGTATCCTTCACAAAATTCACTGTCCAAATTGACATGCATACCAAGTTCCCGTTCGAGTAGCGATTTCACATGTTTTTTATTTTGGTGTCCAAGTCTCTCATGGTACAGCAATAATACGTTTTCATTGCCAACTGCATTCACATTAACAGCAACTTCTGGTTTGACGAATTTCAAATTCAGTTTGTACAATCCTCCACATCTGTTTCTTGTTCCAACTAAAATAGTTTCTCCGGAGAGTTTTATTTTACATTTTTCAGCACTTGAAATAAATAAGCTATCCGTGTTTTTATCTTGCACGGATAAAACAGAGAAAAGATTTTTGTTTACTTCTGGAACATACCATACGTTTGTCATGGTGAAAATCTGTATTCTTCCGTTCACACAAGCTTTCACTGTCAGAGTACCTTGACCTAGAGCTGGGATTGAATCTCCATTAGCTATTGCGACCCTGTGATTTCCATCAAAAGGTGTGTATTCTTGAAACATATCACTTTGATTGGTGATATGATTCGTAGCACCATTATCAACATACCAAATGTCTTTATCACACGTAGAATACAACACGGAGTTTATTTCTGCAACGAGAGTCACATTGGTATCACTAGTTTAATGTTTTTCATTTCCTGGTTTTGGAGGTTTTCCATCTGCTTTCCATTTGAAACAGTGTTTTATTTTATGCCCTTTTCGTTTACAATATTTACAAAATAGGTTCATATTGTGATTTCCTTTGAATATTTCTTTATTTTCCAAGAACATCACTTTCTCTTTGACCAAGGATTGGGATGATAAAGCTTTTTCGTATGCACAAAGATTAGTTAAACTGTCAATTGTTCTATCGTTTTTCGACATTAACATCCAACTTGACTTGAATGAAAAATACTCTGGAGGAAGTCTCCAGAATCTTGCAAATCAGCAACAATTCTGGTAGATCGCATTTACAGGTATCATCATGTACTTCCTATATCCTTGGCGATTTCATTTTGCAGAATATTCCAAAGATTTTTGAGTTTAGAAATATGAGATGAAATGTCATCTTCTGCGTGTCGTGTGTAGCTGAAGAATTGCATGCATGTGTCATATGTTTTGTCCTCAACATAACCATCATACAGCCTGTGCAATTCTTGCCACACTTCACGAGCAGTAGTGTACCTCATCACTTTTGCAAGAGTTTCTTGAGTCATATTTACTGTAAGAACTAGTAAAGCATTATTGTCTGCTTGATTGAAGTCTTTCAACTCCTTGTCATACTTTGTTCTCTGAGTTTGGGTTGCGTTTTCTGGTAAAGGTTCGGGTAAAGTTAATTTTCCTTCAACTACTTCAGTACCGCCTTGAATACTTCGTAATAGTGAGCTGCTCTTGTATTTCCATGATGACCAGTTTGACTTGCCCTCAAGTAATCCTATTTGTATTTTAGTTGCATCCATTTTGCTTTTGGTAGAGCTTGGATTCAACTGAATAAAAATGATAGCTTCAGAACACTTGTCAATGTCAAAAATTTTCAGCAAAAAAATTTCAGCAGTTTCTTATACTCCGGAACCTCAGGCTAACCAACCGCGCTCTGTTACCATGTTGAAGTAGAGGGAATATCTCAAGTAAACTCTTGAATGAATGTATTAATTTTAGACAACTCAACTCGTACTTTTATTATGTCAAAATTAATCTCTTAACTACCTATAAACATATACAATGTGAACGAAAACAAATTAACAAATTATGAAAATGGTGGTTTTTCGACAGGATCAACCAATTTCAGTTTTCCAAACGGGGTTGAGTGAGGATTTTTAAGATCTTCAAAATGATGTGTTACAAGATAGGGATGCTATTTAAAATTATTAAGTGGTGGTAGCTAGGAGTAAGGGGGTTAAACCTAAAATACCACTGGCACTGGTTTTGAACTTCCCCCTTGATATCAAAATTTACGTGTTTTTTGCCTACGGCAAATTCTCCCTGCTAAACGAAGTACTAGGGGTGGTAAGTTTCGAAATGAAGGCACTGTATATCCAGTAGCATTTATTTATTAATTCAAATATCCATAGATAAGACGACGGACCCCATACACATACTTACGGACCCCCAGGGGTCAGCTGACCACAGGTTAAGGAACACTGATCAAGAACAAAATACCACCACCACCATTCTTGCGAATGGCGTTTTGACAGTGATATAAACAGTTGGACCATCAGCCCGTAACAAAAGCTCTGCGAAGCGACGGCCGGCGACGCCCTCTTATAATCTACATTTCGTCGCCTGAAACACTGTCGCCCTGGAAATTATTGTCTCATGACTTTCTCATCGAATAAATAATTTTTTAAACATAATCATGCTTCACTTAAAAAAACAGTGTGATGCACTGACAGAATAAATCAAGATAGAAGATGGAAAAAGAGGTAAATTTGCCGCCCTTTAAATATGCCGCCAACGTGAAAACTAAAAACTATTAGACTAATTTCGATTTGATTTTGTTCGAATATTTGAAAAAAATATTTCTATAGCATCATCTAGGATGGGTGAGAGATGATTCAATTTTTTTATGGAAATGCTTGATTTTCGTAACAATTTTTTAATAGAAAACAACATTTTGGTAATGAATAAATTAACAGGCAAGAGAGTGAAATAAATAAAATAAATAAAGAATTGTCAGTCACAATAATAACAAAAAATTTTCATTCCGGTCTCTCCCTAGACTGTATTTTATGACCGAATTCTTCACTGGGTTCGTCTGAAGCAGTATTATCTTCATCAGAATATTCTTCGTACTCCACTGACTCTCTTCTCGAATTGTTTCCAGTTCTATTCCCTTCTGTATCACCTTCATCGTCTATTGTGGACTCGTCAAGTATGATTATGGGCTCCTCAGAGTTTTGTGAATTTGTGGAAATTTTCATCAGGTTACTATTAACTTTCCCCGCAGCCTGCAGTTGTGCCAGTCTTTCAGCTGCTTCCTTACTTGGAAGGGAAGAATAATAAGAAGATTTCAGCAGGGTCTGCTCTTCTTTGTCCTTTGGTTTATTGGAAGAAGATTCAGCATCAGGTTCGACATCATTATCAACGACATCAGCACGTTTTTCAAAATAGTTTTGTACAATTTCGGATTGGGCGATTTGCTCTGCTGACCCTCTAGAAGCAGGAACGTACTGTAACTCATCAGCCCCAGTATGGAAATTGTGACTAGTTGAAACCAAAGAGGATAGTTGCTTTTTGGACAAGCTTTTTTGGTGAGCTTGCTCGTCGTAGTTGAAAGAATGATATTCTGGTTGGAATGCTACCTGACCCGATTCTGACTCTTGCAGATGATCAGATAGGCTCACTTCGGGTTGGTAGATTTGCTGTGACAAAAGTGTTTGATAATCAGATAACTGCTGTGTTTGTTGTTGTTGTTGTTCTTTAGGGTATGCAGATTCTATCAACTGATAAAGTTCCTGAGGAGTCAAATTGTTATTCAAAATAATGTCTCCTTGGGGAGAATTCTGTTGAGTGTTCTGTGGAGGATATGATTGAGATTGACTTTCAAATTGATTATGGGCATTTTGTTGAAGCTGCATCTGTTGTTGAATCTCTAGTTGCTGCAATTGTTGCTGTTGCTGTTGTAACTGATTTTGCTGTAACTGTTGCTGATGTAATTGTTGTTGTTCTAAGTGTTGCTGCTGTATCTGTTGATATTGTTGCTGTGCTCTGAAAAATTTCTGGCTAGGGTTAGGTTCTGGATGTTCGGTAACTTGGTACTGATGACTCTGCTCCACCTTCACATATGTCGGAGGGTGTTGGTAGTTTATTTCATTCCGAACTTCTTCCACTATTATTGGTTTATCTCTTAAACTCAAATTGGGAGCTGGGATGGTATGTATTGGACCCTTTTCTCCTACCTGCTTGATGGGATTGGTATAGGTTGTTGGAATGTTATTGGTCTGTATATGGTAGTCCAGTTCCTGAAAATAAAATAATTTGATGTCAACATTATATTGTGGCAATAATGATCACGAAACTTCTTGATTTTATGCCTACGAGGTATTGGTTTTTTAAAACTCGTAATAAAAGTACCACCTTCACAGATCTTGCTCTGAGGGGGGACTGCTGATGCAGGAACGATAAAAATTAATGACCCCGATGGAAACTTCAGGACCTCAATGAGGATGTGATCTAGGGACAAATACTTGTTGATATATTCTGAAATGTTGTCGACAACAATATTTCAACTCCAGAATTCAAAACAATAAGAACTACATCAGGCTTATTAGCTTGTGTGAGCCTGATGGTAGGGAAAGAATAGTGTCAATAAATTGATAAAACATCCTCCGGGACGTAGGGTGACACCGGTGTCCCGTCAATAGCATGATAGATACGTAGGTGGTAAAAATGGTTATTATCATTATTATATGCATTTCTTATATTTCAAAAAAAGTTTTTTCTGATCCTAGACCAAATACATAAGATATTTTCTGTCAATATCTAAACATGTTCAGATTATGATAAATTCTGTTCAGTAAATCTATAGGGATTTTGTTTCAGATGAATGATTGTAAGGTTGTCAGCAAATGAAACTTGTAAATCTGATATCATTTCATCAAACGTTGATTTAATTGGTCTTATAAATGTTTCTTTTAGTAGATATTGGCATGTCATTTTTCAACTTTTCTTTTATATATTAGGTTGTTTCAAAAGTTTTTTATGTTTTAATGTCATGTATTTTTGTAGCTCCATATCTCAATAAATACAGGGTGAGTCAACAAGATTCCCTCGGTCCATTGCTATCAGAGGAAACACTTTTTCGAACTGCTCAATTTTTTTTGCAGTCATATCGTATCGATAAATACTATCTTTTGAAATTATTTTCTCTCATACTGGGTGATTCAGCCGAGCATGGTCAACCAAAGTTATATTTTTTAAATAGAACACCCAGTATATGTATACGTCATTCGATTCCATATTTTTTTAGCTCTCTTGTGAATTTTTGTTATTCCAGGAAAACCTATTTCGCAGACAATATTTTTTTAATTCACCACTTGCATGTCTACGGCAATTAAGTAGATTTTTTTTGGGAATACTTAGTCAACATCAGTATGATAGTTTCGGGAATCTGATCTTTGGGAAACAATATATAGGGTGCTCGGTAAAATCGGTCAAGTATCATTCATTTTCAAACAGACATAATTCAACTTTTTCAAATGAAACACCCCTGTATTTTTTCATTTGTATGAAATGTTTCAACATTTCACTAAATTTTTATCACAGGTATACTATACGAAAAACAGATATTTTACAAATTATACCAAGTTTTAGTAATTGTCGTAACCACAAATAAATGTATTTTCTTACGTTCACTTACTCCAATTTGTTTTTAGAATACCCATTCAAACTAATCGCTAGTACATTAACATTTTTTATACCATCAAGTAATGCGTAAAAATTCTAAAGAATATTAATACTGCTTTTTTCTTTAAAAACCCAGTTATCCATGACTGACATCAATGCAAATGGTCTATACTTTGAGGAAAAGTGGAGGAAACTGCCTCCTTGCATTTAGGATTTACAAAGTTCCCCGAAAGAAGACAACCAGACGGAAAGGCATTTCAAGCTCGAAAAACAAGATTCGAAAGAACTGGTAATGTCAATCATGAAAAGTTCGAACGTGTCTGCCCTGTAACAAATGAAGAGCGTGTCTCTAATGATACGAGCAAGCAAATTTCATCTTTACCACATGCAATTGATGTAAAAGTGACGAGGAAGAGATTTTGAACAACGTGTTCAATTTTGCTGATGAGTCTCAGAAAAGATCAATCAGAAAAATGATTTTTTCGATTTCGTGTTATTTTCTGATGAAGCGACTTGTCATAAAAATGGAACTGTGAATCAGCATGACATGCATTATTATGCAACGGAAATCCCCCATTTTGTTCGTTGCCTGAACCATCAACAGCGTTGGTCACTGAATGTGACCAACGCTGGGGTGGAATTCTCGGAAAAAGTGTTATCTGTCCATGTTTTTTGGATAGGCATCTTACTGAAAGAAGATATGTAAGATTTCTTCGGCATAAGTTTTCGAATTTATTGGACGGGGTTTCATATGGAACGAAACTTAGAATGTGGCTACAGCAAGACAGTTTACCACCACATTTTAAAACTGAGGTACGGGATGTCCTCAACGATCATTTCAATCAAAATGGGAAGGTAGGGGTGGGCCTGTGGCATGGCCATCCAAATCATGTGACCTTACCAAAATGGATTTTTATGGGGGTATATAAAATGGATTGTCTACCAAATTTCTCCAATATCTGTACAAGATATCAATCGAAGAATCACTGTAGCTTTCAGGAAAATCTCAGACGATATGCTGAAAAGTGTAGATAATTCGTTTAAAAAAAGACTAACATTATATGTTGCAGAAAATGGTCGCCATTTTTAACATCTTTGGACTCCTCTATTCAATAAAAAATTTGGGCGTTTTTGTTCACATTGAAAAAATTTTGAGTAAGTGAACGTAAATAAATGAATTTCTTGTTGTTTCAACAATTAAAAAAATTGGGTAGAATTTGTAAAATACCTGGTTTCCGTATAGAATACCTCTGATAAAAAATGTTGTGAAATTTTGAAACATCTCATACAAATGAAAAAATATAAGGTGTTCCATTTGAAAAAATTGAATTATGTCTGTTTGAAAATGAATGAAACTTGACCGAGCACCCTATAGATTGTTTCCGAAACTTGAGTTTCCAGAAATTATCATAGTAATGTTGACTAACTATTCCTAAAAAATCCTCTCAATTGCTGTTGACATGCGGATAGTGAATTTAAAAACATTATCTGCAAAACAAGTTTTTGTGGAATAACTTGGCAATGCCGCAATGGAAATTTGGAAACAAAAATTCCTTAGAGAGCTAAAAAAATATGAAATCGAATGACGTATTCATATACTGGATGTTCTAGTCATGCCACGCTCGGCCGAATCACCCAATATGCGGGAAAATAATTTTAGATGATAGTATTTATCGATATAACTGCGATAAAAAATTGAGCAATTCAAAAAAATTGTTTTCCCTAATAGCAATGGACCGAGGGAATCTTGTTGACTCACCCTGTACATTGATACTGTTCATTTTTTCCCAAATTTCAGGCCAATTCTTGTCTAGGAATTCAAATTGAACCAAAACGCTGCAGAAGCAGCCCGCAAAACTAACCACGCCTTTGGCAGTGATTAGTGTTAATGAACGCATTTTTTGACGACTGTTTGCAAAATCTCGATCCGGACATTTCAGTCTGAAAGATGAGCCCGAAAGTGGTCGACCTACAGTAATCCAGGAAGAGGATTCGAGGATCCTGGTGGAGACTGGCCCATCACAAATGGTACGTGTGTAGGCGGAACTACTGGGCGTCAGCTCCCATGCAGGATTCAAAACGAATTGAAAAGGTCAGAAAGCTTGAAATGTGGGTGCCCCACAATTTGAACGATCGCCAGAAGTTGTCACGTTTCGAAGTCTGTTCTTTTTTGCTTTTGCGCAACCAAAACGATCAGGACATTGGTTGGACACCAATGAGCCATCCATGATCTTCTTGAAGGCGAAAACCCATCAAAAAATACCATGATTACAGTACCCGAGTACTCAATTTTCATACTGACGGAATTGATCGACTTGTGTTACGTTGGCAAAAGTGCACTGATTCAATTTAATTGAATGAGTATTCAAAGAAGAGTCATAAAAACGAAATAAACTTTCAGAACAACCTAATTTGATCAACATAGGTGTGGTTTCCGAATTACATTACAACTTTCACAATATTCATGTTACTATTGTCGCTATAAGTTTTACTTTTTGATATTTCAATGATGTATTGAGAAGTTCCTAAATTTTGTTTTCCATCAAGTATGATAAAGTTCACACTATTATATTTTCTTGATTTTCTATTATATAACGAAGAATTGTTGATTTGCATCTGTGACTGTTTTATAGGATACTTCATTGTGAAAAGAATGGAATACAAAAATGTTTGACCTTTTTTCTCTTGAAGTAACAATTGTGTCTCAAGTGAATCAGGTTTACAATATTTCGACAAACTTCACTTTCCTTCAAGTGAATAATTTCGTCAAAGTAGTATCTATTAAAAAGGATATCCTCATACATGAAATCTTGATTTTGTTCAAATTCAGGTTAGGAACGATTTTAATTTTCCGAGATGGATGTGTTTCTATATTTTTTTAATAACAGAAAAACTATTTCAAAATAATATGAAACATAAAATATTCAAGTAACATTTTATTACGAGATCTTCTTTGAACAGTTTACAAAACCGTAACACGTGTTTCACTATACGATAGCTTCCTAAGACATGTTTATGATGACTAAATTCTACCTAATAAGTGCTTTATATAATAAAACAATTTGAATCATATGACCTTCTGCCTACTTGAAGATGAAAGTTTAGGTAGGAACCGATTGATCAAACATTATGATAAAAATATTACCAGTCATTAAATGTACATGTTATAAACTAATTACCAATGTTCACCTTGAAAATCAGATTCAACGAGAGAAAAAATCTGATTCGATTTGGTCCTTCACTAATTTTGAGTGTCGCATTCGAAAAAGAAATCGAATGTAATACATCATGCCCATCCACCAAAATATTGTTTTAAAATGTTGAATTGGTCTTCACGTTCAAGAAACTACTTCTGTGTTAAATTGATTGATGTAGCCGGTTACTACGTGGTAGGAAATGAAAATGAAGAAAAGAGGATTGAAACTATACAACAAAAAATAAGGAAAAATTATCTTGTTTGTACGAAAGCTGATAAATCGTTATCAGAAAATTGAATCACTCATTCAAAATGGAAACCTTACTGTCATCAAGAAAGACCCAACGGAAAATAGTCAAAATGACCTGAAAAATTTCCTCTCATATACTAAAATAATTTTCACGGAATCAAAGAATTACC